CATATACACATATATACATATATGTATATATGTATACATATATACATATATGTATATATATATATATATGCATATATACATATATACACATATGTACATATATGCATATATACATATATATGTACATATATACATATATGTATATATGTACATATGTGTACATATGTGTATATGTGTATATATGCATATATACACATATGTACATATATATGTACATATATATGTACATATATACATATATACACATATGTACATATATATGTACATATATACATATATGCATATATACATATATATGTACATATGTGTATATGTGTATATATGCATATATACACATATGTACATATATATACATATATACATATATACATATATGTATATATGTATACATATATACATATATATATATATATGCATATATATATATATATATATATGCATATGTTTATTATTATTATTATGTATTTCTATTGAAATGTAGTGAGCGCACTTTTTTGTACAAAGGGAAAAGTTTTTTCACTACAAGACTAGAAAGAAATCCTGTAGAGCAATTTGCAGTAACTTTATTTTGAATTATATCACCCAATCCTCTTCTGCAACATGTTTTGTTGAAAAAGGAAATGAATATATAAGTTAATTCTAAGATAATGTGTTTTATCAGCCTATCATGTTGATCTCACTTTTAAGCAGCTGACACTCCATTTTGTGTGATACACATTTAGTTTGATGGTGCCTTATGTACTACCCTTCAGAGAAGGTCAAAAATTAGCACAGAATTCAAATTTACCTTTGCCAAGACAAAGGTATACTTCTTTTCCTTGAGTGATAATGTCAGTAGGACAATGACTACTGCAAGCCTGCATTGGGGTTTTCTGCAGAGGTTGCAATTTAGAGGGTTATAGGTTAAGGAAACTGCTTTATTGCTTCACCAAGAAGATTATTTTGGACTATCATTTGATCTAAGCACACAATTAGCAGAATGCAGTGAATTCGTACTTGTGTAGGAGAGCATGATAGTATGATACATTTACACACATACTTTTAACAATATATGTGGAAGCTGCTTAGTTTTTATCTTTGCTAAAGTTAAGCATATAAGTTTTCATCCCAAATAGTCATGATATCCAAAATAATTATGTGGTAATAAAATAATGTATATCTAATATCTTTAGGAACTTATATACAATTCCATCTTGCCTCCTGTCTACAAGTCCAAGGAAGCATAATCGTTCTTTGGCAGTATGATCTTTATTCTCTATGATAAATACATTTTAAAAAATGTCAATTTGCTTAGCAATTGACTTTCACGGTCTTAGGGTAAGTTCCTCTCTTGCTTACTCTCCTTTCCCCATTTGTTTTGTCACAACTACCAATTAAGAGGGCAGGCTTTAGTTCGCTGTTATTGATGATGAAGTGCTAATTTCTTTTGCAGAGATTCCTCAACTCTGTCATGATTCGTAATGGCTTCATTTCGTGAAATTAAATTTTAGAAACAATCTTCAATAACTTATGTTTAATCCCACTCTGTCTCTAAAAAGCAATCAATCTTAAAGAAAAGATCATCTAAAATTTTGGTGCAATATAAGCATCATTTGCTTCCATTAATGATTAACCAATTTAGGTATCCCAACTATGCATAAATCTTATAACAGTGGATCAGGGTAAATAATCCTAGTTAAATTTAAGCTTTCATGCAGAGCTTCTATTAATTGTGTGTCAATGCTAGTGCATGCCATCGGCAGACTTGGCTTTTGGCCTCTGTGGTGTGTGCATATGGATGCGTGCAAGCTCATGCATGTGCGCATATGCATCTAGGTGTTTGTGCATATATGTGCCGATTCAAATTTGAAAATTGAGCGAAACACTCATTTCATCTGTGTGGAGCACCCATTACTTCATGTGCGCGTGCATGCACGCCTGTGTGTGCATGCATGCTTATTCAAATTTGAAGTTATGAAGCAAAATGTGCTTGCAGATTTTGCTTCTGCCAAAAACTTGAGTACTTGCAAAATTGTGTGATTTGGCCATCTATGAAATTGATGGTGTTTGTTGCAATGGGCATTAACATGTCTATAGAGATATCTTATTGCCTCAAAACTATCTTCAGTCGCCAAATTGTGTGTTCGGCAGTGTGTGCATCAGTGCATGTGCACATGCTCACACATGTCTGTGTTGTGCACATGTGGAGATATTATTGCTGCTTAAAAAACTCTTTAACACTTCTAAAATTGCAAAGTCCAGTCATCTTTGAAACTACCTGATTCTCCTTTTATTATGTGTGCACCTCAATAGGCTTTTTTTTTCCTTCTCTTTCCCAGTGAAAGATCTGCCCTTTTCTTTTCTTTTCTTTTTTCTCCCCTTTTTTGCTGCTTGAATATAAAGCTAAATAGGAAGGTTTACTTCCCAAATAGGTTTAATCTATTGTTTCATTTCAGTATTGCTTGAACCTGCTGCTTTGCTCTATCATTGCCATTTTAATGATGATATAGTTTGTCTTGGCTGACATGCAATTTGTTTCTGCAGATTCTAAATATATTAACTTCCTCTAGAGAGCTGATGGACTTTCTTCACAAAGTGGATACTGCTTATCATTCTAAACAGTCACGACCTTTTTCGTCAAATGTTGATAACATACATAAATATGTCCCCTCAATTCGTGAACAGTTGCAGGTAGTGACATATTTTGAAGACATTTTTCCGCTTCCAATTTCCTTTTTTGTCCATTATCGGTAGTACTTAATGCAGAATGCAGTTGGTTTAATATGGTCCCAGACCAATATCAATCACACTTTTCTCTAGTTAAAGATTAGTCACTGAAGTCTTATAGTTCCTATAATGTGCTACTTACTACTGTTTTTGATACTGCAATTTTGATGCTAAGTTCTATGTTCCTTTCAGGATTGGGAGGATGGTCTATGTGAGAATGATGCGGATGGGTCCTTCTTACATGAGAACTGGAACAATGACCTAAGACTTTTCAGTGATGGCGAGGATGGTGCTCCTAAATTACTACAGGTATGAATAATCTGAAATATCTATTAATTTTTGCCCTTCTGTCTTATGCTCAACTATGTAAAAAGAAATGATATCCTGAAGTAGGTGTGATACTTAATTTCTTTTTGGTAGCTGGGATCATCACTTTGGTACTCATTATTGACTTAGGTTATATCTGTGATATGAAGGCCATCCTTCATTTTCTATATTCTGATCTTTATGATGGGTTCCTCAAATTGTTATTTTGTATGCAAATTATCTATTTTCCACCACTGCTACTATCATTCCTTTTATCATCTATTTGCAAATAACCATATGGAACTTTGCTGATTGTTCCAATTCAGGCATCTTTAATTTGTACTCCACCTACAACTCATATTTGTTTTATTTTCTTTAACTTGGTTTTGATATGATTATTTTTGTAGCTGTTTGTTTTACGAGCGGAGCACGAGATCCAAGCCGCCTCTGGCGACCTCCAAAACTTAAACTCCATCAAATCTAAAATGCATATCCTCTTCGGTGGCTCAATTAGAGCTTCATCCCGCTCTCCCATTCCTTTAACGGAACCTCTTGATACCCAGCAGGATCGCACTGAAGTCTTCACCCCCAAGCATCCAGGTATCGGGAGCCGAACTTGGGCTGACGTGCACTACAAAGGCGACTGGATGAGGCGACCCATCTCAGACAACGAGGTTGCATGGTTAGCTCGGATCTTGATCAGACTATCTGATTTCTTGAACGATTTCCTAGGGTTAGATCATCGGGTTTGCAATGGTGAACCCGATGGTCCCAATTTTGTGGATGTTCCTCGTGAGTCAGGTTATGTTGGTGGATCGAAGGAAGCTATGGCTATGGTTTTATCCTACATTGGTTCTTCAGTCAGCTGGACGGTGAAGTTTATGAGAGGGCGTGGGATGAGGATAAATTTGAGGGTGTTGGCCTCCAAGAAATTTGTTATGGTTTTGGTTGCTTATGTTGTCGTCTTTGTTTTGAAGAAGGCTCTGTTTTCGTAATTATTTTGTCTCTTTGATTACGACAACTTATGTACAGTTCCAGAGGATGCAAAGGGGGTGAAACTAATGTGGGTTGGAAATGGTTGAAATCGTCAAATACTATTTTATAGTTGAGAATGGAAGTGATATAGCTAACATTGTGTGAATGTGTTTTTGGTAGTATTTGGGCTTATTATTCTGTGCGTGCCGTGAGGCGCACGTTTATGTGCATAGTATCAGGTGAAATGCACAGAGTGGAAGTCCTAAATTTTTGAACTCTGGTTATTTCGACGTATCTTTCTGTCATGGTCATAAATGTGAAGATATTTAGAGAAGGCAACAAGTTCAATTGAAATAAAAGCAGGCAAAATTTGGAAGAGCATACGATTGAGTGGTGTAGCCGCTAGCAAGCCGATCGGTATTTATATCTCAGAGCAAGATAAGCCTTGAAGACCGCAAAAATTCAATGCCTTCCTTCAAAACTCTAAAGCAAATATTAGATCCGGTATTCAAAACCTTTTGATGAGTTCATATCCCTCGTCTCCTTGTAACTTCCCTTTTTAGGTAGTGTTTTTTTGTAGACTTTCACATTGCGTCATATGTTTTTGGATGTTGGATATCTCATCCATACTATATGTGCTTTGAATATTGCTCTAATTTTGTAGTGTTTTGGTATTATAGGATTTGAGTTTCTTGCGGAGAGACATGGGTAAATGAACTTGCTTATACCTAGAAAAAAAATTACGTTAGGGAGAATTGAAAAAAATATAATTAATAGAACGAATAGGAAAATGTTGTGGTGTTCCCGTTCGCTAAAAGCGCAAGTTTATTGTTAAGTAACTGACAAGTGTGTCACATGCTATGCCCCAATCAACTTGGCGGCTAGAGACCAGTGGGACGACCATTCCGCCGACTCGACGACTCGACGTTCCTTCATGTCGACTCGAAAGGCGGAACTTGTCACCTCCCTTTTGTCGAAGACGACTCGCCACAAGTCCTCACGACCATTTGCCAGACGCCTTACGAAGCCGACTCGAAAGGCGTTACTTCTCGACGAAGCTAAAAGACTATTTTCGTATCGAGCCTTTCCCTCTATGACAATGGGTCAACATCGCATTTAATACTTGGCAGGTGTCATCATGACTCTAGCCCAAATAGTCTTCATGATTCATCGGACCATGTGGCCATGTCATGCTGCCGGTCTCTTCTCATTTAATGCCGAAGCGACCTTCCCTCCACTCGCTAACCAATGCCTATAAAACAAGTGCTGACATGGCCGCCAGCCCATACTTCGCCACCGCCTCTCTGCTCTCGGCTAAAGTGGCCAATTTACCCTTACCGTCTTAGTATAAATACAAGTACTATTTCAACTTGGGCGGAGACCGAATTCTAGATTATGATAAAAACTTTATAACTCTGCAAATCATATCGCACACGCACAAGAATTACAACACTCTTTAATCCCCACTCAAATTCATCAGTTAACTTGATCATCGGAGGTACAACGTGGGAACCAAACTTCACCCTCTTGAAAAGTTAAAAATGATTTATTTTATTGGATTTTTAAAATCATAGTTCATGATTCTTATATGGTTTGTAGACTTGGTTTGAACTATGAAGTTTTTTGGTTTATTTTGGTGTGAACAATGTGTTTGTGCTTATGAGATCATTGTAAAATACTCTTATGATGATATTAATGTGTTTGAGCTTATGGATCATCTCTTAGTGCATTATAATGTATTTTTTATGGTTAGTGATTTATGTTTTCTCACATAATTATCATGCTTATATTTTTTTGTGATGCAAATTTGGGTTGAAATAAGCTCTAAGAGCTTGGCATAATTGTTTATATAGTTTTTTTCCTTGTTAAAAATGATATTAATTATATTTTTTGATTTTCAATTTTTTTTGCTTCTTGATATATTTATGTTTAAGACCCTTGTAAAACTTTGTCTTAATGATACATATATATGTGTTCACTTGGTCTCTTTGAATGTGAGTTATGATTAGCACGTTTTTTTCTATGCTTGGTCACATATTTTGCCTTATCATTTTTATATATATGCATTAAGGCATGTTGATAGGGGGATCCTTTTCCCTATTATTTTTTTATACTCACCTATGCTCATTTGTAGGGGAGCTTTCGCTCTCTTTATTATTATTGTTTTCCCTATTTTGATGTTGACAAAGGGGGAGAAACATGTATATTGTACATGTATATTGTGAGTATATCTTGCTTTTGCTTTTTATGCATGAATAATTTAATTTTTATATTCATTTATTATCATGTATATTTTATATACCTTTTGGTGCAGATTGTTTGTCATCATCTAAAAGGGAGAGATTGTTAGGTCTCATGTTTATGAGACTACGGTCTAATCTTGTTTTGACGATTTTACAAATAATCCCTAACATCGTTTGTCTACTATTTGTGTGTTGTTCATTACGTAGTAGGTATTCTAGACAAACATCGATATCGGAGGATGGATAGAATTGCGCATTCACGGCGTTATCTTGGTGGTTGGAGGATATAGGAGCGGAGCTATGCACTCAAGTCAACACTTCATCAAGTTTCATTCCATGTTACCAAGATTGAGCTTCACGAAGAGATCACAAACTTGGGTATAAAGATTTGTAGTTTAAGTTTATACTTTGTGTGCTTATACTTAGAGCTCAAAATTCATACACACGCATTTGTTCTAATTTATCGTTTATTTTGATTTATCACCACTTTGGATTATAGACTTAACAACATAATTTTATATCTTTTCTCAAGCCTAGAAATCTATTTTAAAGTGTTTCAAAACTTGTTTGAAGAAATCTTATCAAAATTAAATTTTAGTATTTTCACATTTTTGAATGGTTTGCAAAATACATGAGTTTTCTTAAATGGGAAATGTAATTTGAAAATTTCTTTTTCTAACATATTCAATATCATGTTCACAAACATTTCCCTAAGTTTTACAAATTTTGGAATTGACTTACTATGTTAAATCGAATTTACAAACTCAAGTATTTCAACAGTTTTTAGAATTTGGAATATCTGTTTTAAAATAGTGATTTCTCACAAATGGGAAGTGATATTTCCGAAATTCTTTATCTAACATGTTTATCTATAGGTTTATAAACGTCTCTCAACATTTTATATTTTTTATATTTAATTTACTATTTTTAATTGATTTTACAAAACTAGATACACAAAAATTCCAAAATCTGCCAAACGATGATGTCATCAGTCGACCGATGATGTCATTAGTCGATTTATTGAAATTTTCGAGCGATGGCTAGCTTTTTGTCAGCTGTGTTTTTGGGGCTATAAATACCCCTTTTACCTTGGTTTTTCACAAGAGTTTTACAAGTGCTTTAGGTTGTTTGTTTCTATGTATTAAGAGAGAAAAATTTTGTTTTTGTTTGTGTGAAGAAGGCTTCACAAAGAGAAGGAGTTCAATTTCATCATTGAGGAGTTTAACCTCAAATCCTCAACTCTCTTTGTTTAGAGAAGTTTTATTAACTCATCTTCTAGCTATTTATCATTTTGTTTCTTATATATTTATGCTAGATTGAATTGAGTTTAACTTTGATTTTATTATACTCATTGATTGCACATACACCCTTTGAGCTTAAGTATTTTCACATATAGTATATTTTGGGTTGTGGGGTTGTATCATTGAGAGTGAGCTTACACTTAGTTCTCATCTTGTTTAGAGAACAAATTATTTACTTGTGCTTAATTTTTGAGAGAACACATTGTAATACACAAGGATACTTAGAGGAGTGATTCGTGAGAGACGGGGTTAATTCCAAGAGGAGTGGCGTTGGTTATAAATCCTAGGGAGAGATAGTAATTTCGAGGACTTGAGGAAGTTGACACGGGCTAGGCCAACACTTAGAGGGGTGTATTACTTGATTACAACTATGTGAGTTGTGAAAGTTTTCGGTGAGCTAGAAAACCGATTGTGTGAGTTGTAAACGTTTTTGGTGAATGTTGAAAACTAGTTAAAATAGTGGAGATTCTCCTCGAGAGTGAGCAGCGGAGACGTAGGTCGAGGGTGACCGAACTCCGTGATCATATCATGTGTTTGCGTTTGTTATATTTTCACACTATCTCTCTATTTGTGTTTATGTTTATTTTGCCCTTAGTTTAATTTTGTATCCTTGCATATATAACTCATATACATCTCTTGCTAGGATATATTGTTAATACATTTCAAATTAGCATCGAAATCGGATTAGATTAGCATATACCCTATTGTAAAACCCTATGAAAATTGAAAAAATGTGAATAATAGTAAAAATGATTTGTATTGTAAATATTATTTATTGATGTTTGAATATGCTAGGAATTGATTTGTGATCAATTCAATGTATATATATGAGTGTAGAAGAGAATCATGCACGAAACATGTACAAACAGACTGATTTAAGTCTGTCTAGTTGACTACTACTATTAGTAGTCAATTACTAAGGTCATTAGACGACTAATAAGGGTATTAGTCGACTAATCGGGCTGATTTCTAGTTTTCCTAATGGGTTTCGGGTCGGATTTGTTTTATTTCGAACCCAGTTTTAAACCTAAGTATGTATATAATGTTTCCTGAGTTTTTGGTCACCTTTCCCCGGGAGAACTCAGCCACCCTCTCCCCTCAAACCCTAGATCTAGTTTTTCGTGTTTCTCGACGAGATTCGCGGCGTTCATCGAGCGGAGGGCGAGATCGTGGGCTTTCGGTTGAAGAGGAGATCTTGCAAACGTGTTCAGGAGTTGCAACACGTGTTGAGGAAAGATCATCTTCATCCAAACTTGCACCTTTAGATAATAATTGATTTAATATGTTTAACTTGTTGTCTTCATGTCCAAATATTAACCTGAGGTGTTAAAAGTTAGATTTTTGTTGTTAAATCTTTAACTCATGCTAGATCTGATGTTAATTCTTGCTATTTACAATAGATTCATGATCATGAATATCAGGGTGTTTTTAATTTTGTTTTAACTTAATAATCATGCCTAAATCATGTTTAAAACCCTAGTTTTGTTATTTAATTAAGTACATGTTCATTAAAGATGTTTAAACCCAAGGTTTGTGATACCTAAGTAGTGTAATCATATTTAAGTGATTTTATCTCTGTCCATGTTTAGATTTTATCATATTTAATTAATTATGTTGATAAACTATGTTTTAAATTGAGGAAATTGATTAATAAGGATGTTGAACCATGATTAAACTAAGTTAATA